ACTGGGCGACAATGGCCGACGACGGCCGCCGGCGTAGCACGACCATCTCGTCGTTGCGTTCCAATGGCGTCTCGGGCAACAACGTCTCTTGCACCGCGTCAGGGAGGAGGTGGAGGAGACCAGGTTTGAGCAGCCGCGCTTGGTCGTCGGCGGGTAGACTCCGCACCACGCGCTGCTGCTCGGCGAGCGAGAGTGGCATCAGGAACGGCACGTACTTTTGCATGCTGTCAAAGAACGATGTGTCGGTGAGCCACTCGAGCAGCGTCGTCTGGAGCAGCATCGTCTGGAGGCTTTCCGGAAGGTATGCAATGAGGCCGTGCTCGCACACGTCGTACATGTACCAGCGCCAGATGGGCACACTCCACGCGTAGAAGAAGCCCCACGCGCCGTAGCCGAAGAGGACAAGCGAGATGAGAATCCGGCGCGTAAAGTACTCGGCGAGGAAGATGGTCAATGCGACGCCCATGATGCAGCACGACGTGACGCGCAAGAGGAGGAGCGCGGCGCCGACCGCGTCATGCACGTCCGAGTAGTAGAGATTGAGCAAAACGACGTAGCCGATCGGAAATGAGAGGCCAAGACCGGCGATCGCGTGGTCGACGACGACAGCATCGTAGACGCTCAAGTCGACGATCGCATGGCCTTGCACGTAGAGGTACAGCACCGCAAGGCTCATGGCGGCGAGCCATTGGACGACGGCCGCATGGCCATAGACGTTGAGCACCATGGAGCAGAGGTGGTTCCATGAGGCCAAGTCGACCAAGGCCATGCTTCGTCCCTCGACAAAGGCGGTCCGATCCTCGCCGGCCATCGGTCGACGCTTTGTCTTGTCAACGTGTTGCGGCAGCAAAGTGGATATTTTATTATCATTTTTATTGTAGCTTGTGTTTTGTAAGGAAGCGCATTCTATTTGAGATTATCGTTTCAGTTTGCGCAGCATCGAATTGTATTTTTATCGTCCACACCAATAAAAACTCACACTATTTCGGTATCTTGTCAGGCAGCTAGCCATGGGTCCGAGACGATGACCTCGAAAGACCACGGCGACGAGTCCCAGTACGCACAAGATGGCAAAGGCACTTGTAATGTGCAACCCAGCGTGTACATACTTGTACGTACGGCGTCGAGCAACACCCAAGACATCGCGTCGGTTCGCTTGCACACTATTACTTTGTTGAAGTTGTGCAAACCGTATTACCCAATTGGTGTCGACGAATCCTGCATAAGAAAACGTGGCGCCACCATCATCATCCAAGCAGTCATTGCCGTCGAACCATGCATCCGCCAGCCAATGTCCGCCAGCAAGCGACGGCCGTGGGTAGATACGCAGCGCGCTGTATATCCGGCTCGCCGCGCAAAAAGAAGGGCCGACATCCAGGTGCACTGCCGCATCCGTGTCCATGGCACGGCCATCTCATGCGTCCCGTCGCCGTGCCGCGCCGAAGAAACGACTTGACGTTGCTTGTATTAGTCGGCTCTTTGCGTCGTCTAGCCGCACCCAGAGATGACGGCGCTCGGTAGCGAGTGAGTGCACTTGGATGTGGCACCGGGCGCCGCGTGTGCAACCACGAGGAACTTGCGCTGCGAAGAGTGCAGAGGTAACGGAACGGGCCACCATCGCGTGGGTGTAGCGTCGGAACATGGCAGTCCGACGTCGGCGTGCCATTACGTCACAGTCACAGCGGACCGACAGCAGCAACGGCCGCGCGTACTCACTGCTGCACACCAACTTGCGCTCGACCACCCGAGGCATCGCCACCCAAGCAATCCCATCTACATGAGCTCACTACACGCTCCATGTCCCGACGAGTAGCTGCGTACATTTGTCCAGGTAACGGGATTGCCACACTCGCTGGGTCTTGTCTTCCACCCCCAACAGTAGTGTACTAGTACTGGTTAGGTAGTACGTAATGTAAGACGAAGAAGACTCGAGTGCTGCAACCAAGCGGCGCCCTTGGAACATAGCGAACTGCCATGACCGCGCCAAATGCCATCTATATACACAGTCGTCAATGGCGCAGCGAGCGGTAAGAAACCAAGAACTGAGTGATTGCATGCTCCCCGTCGTGCGTCTTGGTGGCACCAGTTGCTTCCGACATGCAGGTGGGTCGATGCGCATGCTTGCATTTCGCCAAGCGCATCTCGCATGCAGAGATCTTGCAGCGTCTGCTTGTACCTGGCATCTCGTGGCTGCCTGCAGGCCGTCACCTGTCCATTCAATCCTGCCTTCCCGTCGACGGCGCGGCCACAAGAGCCGAGTTTGCGCCATAAGAATTAGATGCGTACCTACTTTTGTCCAATCATACTCGAGCAGGACCCGATGGCCCAATCACAAATGGCGCTGCTTCAAGCCGTGCGATCCCATTTTCCGATTTTTCGCACGCAGGATGGTCCAGGTAACATGCAGGCCAACGTGGCTGGCGGCTCACGGACCTCGACTAGGTTGGTATTGTGGGCGCTACGGGCGCCGTCGGGCAGGAGATCCTCGCAGTCCTCCACGACCGCAAGTTCGCAGTCACGAGCGTGCACCTCTTCGCCTCCGCGCGCTCGGCAGGCAAGGTCGTCGAGACGCCGTTTGGGCCGTCCACGGTCCAGCTCTTCACGGTGGAGGCCGCGCGCGCCATGGACTATGTCTTCCTCGCGGTGTCTGGCTCGTTCGCACTGGAGCACGCCGAGGCGATTGCGGCGCCCGGCGGCGCGGTCGTCATTGACAACTCGTCGGCGTTCCGCATGCAGCCGGCTGTGCCGCTCGTGATTCCCGAGATCAATGGTGCGTCCATTGGCGCGAAGCGGCTGATCGCGAACCCCAACTGCACGACGGCGATCGCAGTCATGGCGCTCTGGCCGCTGCACTGCCACTATGGCATCCAAAAGATGATCGTGTCGACGTACCAGGCCGCGAGCGGCGCCGGCGTCGAGGGCATGGACGAGCTGCTAAACACGACCAAGGACGCGCTCGCAGGCGCGCCGCCGTCGCATAAGGTGTTTGCGCACCCGCTGGCGTTCAATGTGATCCCGCACATTGACGTCTTCCAGCCAAACGGGTACACGAAGGAAGAGATGAAGGTGACGTGGGAGACCAACAAGATCTTTGACGAACTCGACATGAAAATCAGCTGCACGGCCGTGCGCATCCCGATTTTGCGCGCGCACTCGGAGGCGATCACGATCCAGACCAAGCGCCCGATCGCGCCCGCCGATGCCCTGTACGAGTCCAGACGATGACGACATCTGATTGTGTTTGCATACTAGCGCGCTACTGCGCCAAGCCGACGGTGTCGACGTTGTCGACGAGCCATTGGCCAACAAGTACCCGATGCCCCTCCACGCCACGTCCAAGTACAACATCGAAGTCGGCCGTGTGCGCCAGAGCATCGTCTTTGAAGAGCATGGCCTGGACCTCTTCGTTTCGGGCGACCAGCTCCTCCGCGGCGCCGCGCTCAACGCCGTGCTCATCGCCGAGTACCTCGAGAAGCCGTACCCGTCCAAGTTTGCCAAGCAAGTCGCATAGACGACCGATCTGTACACTCCATTTCCCTTGTTCCTTTGTTATGCATGTCTTTCTGCGTCGTGTCGAGACTGCTGGACGCTGCAGCCTCACAATCCGTCGTCGTGGTCGTCGTGGTTGTTGCTACGGGGGCGCGAGATGGCGCTGCCGAGCACATCAAAGCCCGAGCCGCCCAGTCGTTTGCTCATCGGTATCGACACGGTCGGCTTGAGGGACATGGTCACCTCGGGGTCGATCGGGCCCTTCCCACGCTCCATGCGTTTCCTGTAAAGTGCATGAGCCGGTAATCGATAGAGACATGGATGTAGTACTTGTGCTTGAAGGCCAGATGAGACTGCATCATCGCCCGCTGCTTGGCGTCAATGTCCTTTGTATCCAGCACCTCTAAAGGGCAGGATCGCCTCCATGCTTGAGCATAGCAATTCGTACGCAAATGGGCGCCGGAAAAAATGATGGTGTTTTCCCGGTACTTGGGCGTCGCGTTGACATGGTTGTTGGTCAGATTCAGGTCACGAAGGCAGCGGAGGCCCCCGACGAGGGCGAAGACGTCCTGTGTGTCGCTGTTTTCAATGAACGAGGTGGTACTAGTATGTACTTCCATGTCGCTGATGGCATTCCGTGCGAGGTTGAGCTGTTCGAGACGACCAAGCGCCACTAACGGTGCCGCGCGTTGCACATTGCAATTGGCAAGGTTCAGCACGCGCAGGCAACGCTACCCAAGCGACCTCAGTCCGTGCGGACTCACGGTGGAGGATGTGTCGTACGCTGAGCGTCGCGAGCGAAGCGGCATCGTCCAAGGCAAAGCCAGTTGTCGATACATTCTGGTTGGCCAAATGCAGCTCTGTGAGCTTGCTGCAGTGCTCGAGGCCTTCGAGCCGACATATCTGGTTGCCTTCGAGACACCTAGAACCAAGTGCAAGGTCGTGGTCGCTCGCTGGTTGTGCCACGTCATAGGTACAGTTTTTCGAGATTGACGAGCGCATCGAGGCCTTCCATGCGCGTGATGCGGTTGTCTTGAAGGTGCAATTGCGTCAGCTGCGACGCGAACGCGAGGTTCTCGATCGTTTGGATGCGATTGCCGTAGAGATACAGCACCTACGAGACCACGATGTTGTCGTCGTCGCATCGCTTTCCAAAGATGCCGACCTTGAGATTCCGGCAAAGCTCCAGGTTGGCAATGCCGGTTAGCTTCTTGTTGGTGAGCGTGAGGTGCGTGAGACGTCGGAGGTAGTGGTCCGCCGACTCGTCCTTGGCGACACTCGTCTTGCTCGCGTGCACGAGCATGTCCGTCGAGATCATGGTACCTCGTTTGTTTGGTGGGACACGACCAGAAATAGCTCTGCAACCCAACGCCCATCCACCTCCGTGCAACGCCCGGTGATCGCGTCAGTCCACGACTTGAACAGTACTTTGCCACAAGTGTTGGACGACCGATCCGTTGGCGGCTACTCAATCCTCCCGACATGTGCGTGCATTCAACACGGTCGGTTCCGAACCTAACAGCGACTTGGCATCAACGGCGCGGTCAAGTGCCCGCTGGCCACATACACTGGCGTGGCATTGGAAAAGCATCGTAGGTAACGCGTGCACGCCGCACGGCGAGCGATGTGCAAGATAGTGGCCATTGAAGAGTGGCATGCGCACCGATCCCCAACAAGTTGGCGCATCGTCGTAGCTTTGGCTGTCGTACTCAGAGGTGGAGCGGTGACGAGCATCCTGGCGAGCTGCGTTGGAAGACGATGCGAAAGTCGATTTTGGTTTGTGGCCGCAGCTTCGATTGCTGCGTGCACGCAAAAACTTGTCGTTGTACGGCTATTATATATAAGGGTCCTAACTCTAATATCATCGTCTCGTCGCTCCTTAGAGGAGCTTGAAGAACTTGTAGTACGTCAGAATGTGCTTCCACGAGAGGTACGAGCGGAAGTGGCGGTACTCTTGCGGCGTCAAGTTGAGCCACTTTTGCAAGATCATCTTTTCTTCGAGCGCCAGATGCGCAAGCGACCCGCGGTAAAAGAGGTAAAAGTTGTACTGGAGCTCGACGAGCTCGGCCTGGCTCACGTTGCCTTGGGCCGCGATGAGCTTCTCGAGCCGATGCACGATCTGGTCGGTCATCGAGTGGTCGGCGTGCTGCGCCTCGAGCTCCTCAAAGTCTTCCCAGCAGCCGTCAATGTTGTCGATAAAGTACTTGAAGAGCTCGGCGTCTTCAAAGTTGCCGTGGTCGTCCAGCTCGGTCAAGAACGCGTTGAACTTGGCGCCAAGGTTGTACGCGAGCTGCGCGCGGGCGGTCGACGCCGTGTCAGGAATGCGTGCAATCATCTTGACCATTTCGCGCATGCACGCGCGGAACCGGTCGTGGCGGCGGATCCAGCCGCGGACGCGGTGCGCGTTCGGGTGCAGCGAGTAGTTGCGGACCCAGAACATGTCGTCCTTGACCATGCCGAGCACGAGCTCCTGGTACTTGCGCTCCGACTTGCCGGCGTGGATGCCGTGGTTGAGCAGCTCCTTCTCGAGCTCGGCGTTCGAGGCCGACGACGAGTTCTTGAGCGCCGGGTCGGTCGGCTTGGTCACGGTGATGTCGCCCTTGGACATGGCGCGGATGACGTCGTTGACCGACACAACTTTGGGGGCCATTTTGTCTTGTGTGATGGGTCCAACGGAAATCGAAAAGTGCTGCTGCGACGCTGCGTCTGGGTGCATTGGCAGGCAAAGCAACGTATTTCGTGCGCGGCGTATCCATGCCACCGAACGTCGCACCAGCCACCAGGTGGCAAAGCGATCTAGGTGACCTGCGTGCGCAACGCGCCGTGGGATCCGTCCGTGCGAATTCCCTTAGCCAAGTACAGAGTGGCACCGCCCACGTCGGACAGGCGTGTCTAGCCAGCTGTCGACGAATCAAATCGACGCGTTGGCGCATCCAGCGCGCGGCGCCGACTTGGATGTCAGAATTGCGTCGTCTCGCGTTTTGCAAGCGTACGGCGCGCATATCGCAGTCGCGGCGGCAGCGTCTTTCCGCCCGTTCTCCGGAGATGGCGTCCTGGCGGCGCGTCTCGGATAAGGCAATTGCAGTGGACGCGCATGGGATGGATGGGCAGTGGCGAGTTGACGTGCAAAGCCATGCCCTTTGGTGTGTCGCCCATCGAATGCAGTGTATAAAAACACACAGTTTGCAATCGGTTTTGCGATCGCCAGAAGCCAGATGGCGCCTGCTGCAAATACTGTCGGTGCGAGTCGGTGCGGTGCCATTTCTTTGTATCGGTGGCGCCGCAGCCATCGGCGGCAGCTCATAAACAAGGATGCATCGCTGGTGTAAAGAACCTCCGCGTTGCACCAAGTCTTCCACAACGCATAGTGCAATATCAAGTATGCAATATCAGAGGGTTGACATTGCCCTTATGCGGTAATTCGCAGGTTACGCAGGCAAAGCTCGGATGCGAAGCTTGCACGTGCCGTATCGGAAGTACTGTGTGGCGTTAAGTTCATCTACGATCCATCGATGTCACATGAAATAGTGTATGTTTGGGATGCGAATCCCGAGCTGTGCTACTCGTTGGCCTGATCGATGGAAGGACGCCCGGCGAGATGCAGTAGCTTGGACGCGACTGATCTATCGTTCGTTGCTTCGATACAGTACTACGCGGGAATAGAGCGAGCATGGTATGACGCCATCCTAATTGAATTGCCGTCAACCACAGAGAAACGATCCACACACCATTTCATGAACGACTGGAAATCGTGTGCGCTACACACTATTTTGCCTGCCAAATCCCTTTTCAACGGCAGGCAGAAGATGCGCTGGAAGAAGCTTATTGTCCGCAACCTCCCGTTCGACGCGACCCGCGCCGAGGCCGTCGGTCTCTGCGGGTACCCGCTGCCGGCGCCCATCGACGCCGACGCCTCGCTTACGAGCCCAGCCTCACGGAGGTCCAGGCGGCGTGCCCGGCCTTCTACCGCTTCGAGGCCGGCAAGCCGACCAAGAATGGCATGCCCGCGATGCCCGCCCGCTTGTACCTGCAGTTTCGAAAGGACCCCGATGAGCTGCTCAAGGTACTCGCAGCGCTCAATGGCAAGGCCGTCGAAAGCAGCAGTGGCGTCGCGGCCGTGCTCGAGGCTGCGGTCGCGCCGAACCAAAAACTGCCCCGCGAGAAGCGGCGCCGCGACAACAAGGTCAACACGTACGAGCGCGACCCTGAGTTTGTCGTCTTTCTCGAGGAGCTCGAGAACCCGACGGTGCCGGAGCCGATGGTTGGCGACGGCGACGACGCTGAGGCCAAGCCTGTGCCCGCCCTCGTCAAGTTTCTGAACGAGCGCCGCAGCAAAGCCAAGGTACTCATTCCTCATGACGCACAAGACATCCATCCTCATACGTGGGGTGTCTCATAGCTGCGGGGAGCGTCGACAACGTTTGGGCGCAATGGAAAACCCCTGCAGAAAACCAACAAGCCCGCACAGGTAGTACGCTGACCACATGCACTCGCTCTCGTCATTTGGATGCTCATCGCGTGGCATGATGACGGTATGTAGAAGGGCAAGTCCAAGAAGACGACGATATCGACCGAAGTTGTGGATGCGACAAACGCCAATGCAGACACGACCAAAAATGGTAGTGCGTCCTTCCCAGTAAGTAAGATGTTATCGCATGGATGTGCATAGGCCAACGCAAGCAGCGCGAGCGTCGTCGCAAGGACCGCGCGCCTGTGGCCGACGAGCCCAAGATGGAGCTCCAGCCAGGCATGTTTCGCATCATGCCCAAGGCAGCCCGACGGTGAGCGTGCCGGCCCCGCCGCTGCCACCGCCGCTGCCCGTGTCGTTGAATGCGGCCTCGATGTCGTTCGAGATGCCACCTGCACCGACAGACGAAGGCGGTCGTGGTGGTCGCGGGCGAAGCCGGTCGGGCCGAGGAAAGAAGCCCAAGCCGGAAGGCGGCCGCGGCGGTGGTGAGGGCGGCAATCCTCGCGGCAACGGCGGCCGTGGAGACGGCAACGGCAGCCGTGGAGATGGCAATGGCAGCCGTGGAGATGGCAATGGCGGTCGTGGGCAGGTAGGATGCGGCATCCTGTGTGTGTCATGTGAAGGCTGACGCACATTGGGGTTAGGGGCGACGGTCGAACAAGGGTCCGAAGAACGCGCCTCCGCTTCCCACATCGTAAACGGTCGGGGCCCACTCGTCGTCCCGCCGCCCACAACTTGACTACTGTACAGCACACGTTCCTGCTCGATGCTGCCATGGGTGGCGGTTCATCGGCCGCTTGCGCCGCCAGCCACCCGATGGCGAATATGCAACATATATACATATATATATTAGGGTATTGGGTGATAGATAAGAGTTTGATTCACGGCTCGTCGTCGGCCGCCGTTGTCCACGGACTGCACGATGCATGGAGCGTCGTCGTCGCAATGTACTCGGGCGGAATTTGCTGCCAGACGTCTTGAACAACCTCGGTCTGTAGCCGGCTGTGTAAATAGGCAGGCACGTCCTTGAACGACGCCGTCGCGAGTGTGAGCAGATCCGGCTTGCGCGGCGCCGGCGTATTGAGGACGCGGAGGCAGTCGGCGGCCGAGACGGTAATGGCAATCGCGATCGTCCGGCCCGGCGGGAGGCACGTGTACGGTGGCCGGATCGTATAGAAATCGTGCGACGCTGAGAGGTGCAAGGCAATGAGGTACTTGGTTGGGTTGGTCACGTGGACGACCGCCATGGCCGACGCGCCAGGCACGAGCGTTAGCGCGACGTGCTTGCTCGGGCTGCAGACGACGCTCGGGTATTGGATGGACGAGGGCTTGACGCAGAAGGCCTCGGGGAAGGCGGCCAGTGGGTGCACCTGGCGTCCGTCGTCGCGTGGCAGGCTCTGGACAAGACCCATCGTTTCCAAGACTGACGCCAACATTGTTGGCAGGGTTTCGGAAAATCAGTCGCTGTGACGTGGCAGCGTGACAAGCGTCGAACGTTCTGGCCCGCAACGGCTCGCCCCAACGGCAACCGCCCGCTTGGATGGATGACTTGCGCGAAGTAGCAATGACCCGCCGAATTGAGGTCGTCGGCCTTGTTCGTCGGGCGATGAAGCGCCGTCTTTATGCACAGAAGAGCGCCCTCCAGTTACTCACGACCACAGTGGTCAGAAGCAAGGCCAAGTGTCGCGCCAGAATCGAACCCAAATTCAGCACAAGCCTCCCATGGCCAGTCGGCGAGGCCAGCGATACGAGGCAGAACGTAGCGACGCCTCAACTGACGTCAACCTCTGTTTTGATTTTCTCGCAGCCAACAAGGTTGCGAGTGGCGATCTGCGAGCGTACGACCGACACCCCAATTCCTACCAAAACCTCTTCTCAGACGACTCTCTTTCATTCAAAATCATTTTTCAATTCCACACACTCAAACACCCAAGAGCTAATGTAGTAACTCGTCCAGAAGTTCCCGCGACCCCGCGACACAACTCTGTACTTTGTAATAAACATACGAGTGCGACCGCAACCTCAACTGTCCTAGAACGCCTCACAAGGCTGTGGCCGCGGGCTTGAGCCCACGCCGCGACGACGAAGCAAATGCGGCGGTACAATCTCAAACCGAAACGCGCATGGAATGTACTCGACATGGAGGGCGTCGTTGCGGACGAAGCGCCACGCGTGGTCGAGGACGTTAGCGAGCTCGTTTGGGCAGCGCGAGGCCTCGGCCGCGACCGTCGCGTAGTGGGGCACGAGGACGCTCTCGACACGGAGGCAGTCGCGCAGCTGAAGATGACTCTTCTCATACACGTACAAGCGGTTGCGTGTACTCCGTGTGAGCGCGATCGTGATGGTGCGGGCGCCGCCCGGTGGCAAGACGAGAAACGGCGGCGCAATCGAGTACCGCGTCGGACAGAGTGTCTTGAATTTCACGGCGAGTGCCGCGCCCTTGCTCATGTTGCGCACATCAAAGAGGCACGTGTTGCCAAAGGCGTGGAACTGCAGCGTCTCTTCGTCCATGCAAAAGGCGAAGTCGAGCCGCCGCGAAGCCAGGTAGAGGCGGCGCGGCGCTGGCAAGCGCGGCAAGAGCCGCCCGAGGTGCGTGGCCTTGACAGTAAAGCGCCCCATCTGCTTGGCACCATACACCCCGTCGTCCGAGCGCGCTTCGACCAAGAGCTTGTGCGTCCAGAGCTTCGTCGTCGAATACTCGGTACTGCGAAACGTGAGCCGGTCGACTTCGTCGTCCGCGAGCTCGATGACAATCGCGATCGACTCGTGCGGCCCGAGACGCCCCGTGTTGGGCGTCACGAGGATCTGCCGCCACAGCGCCTTGGGCGTGCGCAGCTTGAAGGTCAGCGACACATCGTTCGACGGGTTGCGAAGCGTGAACGACTGCTGCCGGCTCAAGTTGGCGTCGAGGTGCGCCAGCACGACAGGCGGGTCCAGCTCCAGTCGGATCACCGGCGACGAGGCTTCTTGGGTCATGCTATCGTCTTCCTGGGGGTTGGCACTCCCCGGACTGGTCGCTTGGCGCGGCGACAAGACCCGCGAGCAAGGACGCGCCGTCCTCGACCACCGCAATCAGCGCCGGCGGCATCTGTGGCAACAAGCGCATGGTCCACGCAAGTGCCGCATATGCGTCGTGGAGCTGCAGGATCGCGCTTTTTCTTCGTGACACGCGGGCCGTCGCGAGGGTCTCGAGCAGGGCGACGTTGCCGCGAAGGAGCTGCTCGATGGCGCCAATGTCGTCGCCGCCGCGGGCGACGATAGCTGCAACGACGTGCACGTTGTGCGCTAGTACCTCGCTCGCCATCGCGATTGTGATGTGGTTGGCACCCGCGTTGTAGCACCCAGAATTACTCATCTAATCCGACAACGACAACGTTCCACGATACGCAGGTGGTCCTTCCTGCACGACGACCCATGTTGCACACGCATAAAGCCGCTGCAGGTCCTTGGCTGCCAGATCTCGTCGGCGTCAGCGATTCCGCGCCAATTCGAATGAGGGTACCCTGAATTCGAAGATCGAAGCAATGGACTTCGAGTTTGCTGTCACGTGACGCGACGTAACCTCGTGTCTAAGCAAGGGGCGATGGTCGAAGACGACAGCCGTGTCTTCATCTAACGCAACGACCACACCACGAATTGTACTCGGCTGACCCGAATCAAGGAAGAAGTGTGCTTTGGTGGGCGCCACAGCGGGCTCGTCGTTGCGGGGTCTTGGACCCCGGCTATCAAAGATTTCCTCGCGGCCTCGGTCTCCTGGCACGGTACCACGAATAGCTGACTCTGTGCAGTCGTCCGTGGGGCTATAGCGATGCAATGATGGAACGCAAATCAAGCAAGCTCATCGTTACATGGTCAAGCGTGGGGACAAAATCGGCCTGCGCTGTGCGAGCACGCGAGGTGGTGCCTGAGCGATGCACCCCGTTCTGATATGATCAGATCCCATTTGGATATCTGGTGATACCATTTGGATATCTGGTATCAATACCATTGTGATATCTGGTGGGATTTGTCCCGAGCGTTTGCAGTGGCCGTGGATTGCACGCGAGGAGGCTACCGTTGCGGTCCAGTGACGTGGCACTCGTGCGTGGCGTCGCAAGAAAGGCGATCTTGGGTATCCTGGTCACACCAACAGTTGGTCTTTCGATCGTTAGTCACGTGCGCGCCGGGCGATGGCACAGCGATTGCGTTCACAGGTGCGTGGTAGCGTACGGTACGCTTGCGCTGGAGCCAGCCGCCCTTGGCCCGCCCAACCGTGCATGCCTCGATCAATTGCACCCACGAGACGACGACGACGACGACACTTATGTTGCATACTAGTTCGACCCACGGACTATCGTATGCTTGCAGAAGCAAAGAGCCCTCGTCTCAGTCGGCCGCGACGACGAGGTCGACCATGCACGAGATGTATGTCATGCTCTTGACGTCGGCGTCGAACGTGGGCCACATGGACTGCACGATGCGCTTGATATCGTCCTTGGAGCGGCGCGTCTCGACTTCGACGGACGGCGTCAAGCCCGTGAGCACGATGGCTTCGATGCGCAGCGTGTCTTTTAAGCGGACGGCGCCGCCGAGATGGCGCGCCGAGCTCTGAAAGGTTTTTGTAAAGCAAATGCGAAGCTCCGCGCGGGCTTTCGGCGGCACGAGCTGGAAGGACGGCGAGATGCGGTACCGCGCCGGCGCCGTTGTGAGCACCTTGTATGCGACCGGCGACGATGCCTTGTTGTGCAAGTAGATAATGGCCGAGCTCTCGAGGCTATAGAGGCGCAGGCTGTGGAGGCACGTCTCAAACTGGTTCGTGGTGGCCGTCACGTGGAGGGGCGAGGCGATCGTCATGACGCCGGCTTCGAGGAAGAGGAGGCGCGTGCACTTGACGTGGAACGTGAGCATCTTCTCGTCGAGACGCCACGCCTCCGTGGTCGCATCCGCGGCCGCCCACAACGTCGCGTACAGCTGCTGCTGCTCGTCGTACTCCATGCACTCGAGCTGGTCGTAGACGTCGTCGTGGACCTTGAGCAGCTGGACCTTCACAGGGTGGGCCCACGTTGTGGTGCATTGGCGCGTGTTGGTCTGGATGAGCCGCTTGGCTTCGTGGTTGGGGATCTCAATCGAGATCGTAAGGGCGCTCGACGGCCGGAGGACGCCCTTGTTGGGCGTAATGACATAATGCTGCCGGTACTTCGATGGCGTCTTGATCTTGAAGAGGATCGACTGCGATCTCGAAACATTCGCGATCTCAAGCGTGTGCTTGGGCGCCAAGTTGGCGTCAAAGTGCAGCTCCATGGGCGAGACCGAGATGAGCGTCGCCGGCGTCTTCTTGGCCGTTGCGGACGCCGTCGTTGTCCACGCAGTCGACGTCGACGAGACGTCTTCGGACGGGACGTGGAAGACGTTGTCCTGCGTGAGCGCAGTGGTCCACTCGAAGCCGTCGAGGCCGTTGGTGTTCCAGCCCGACCCGGCCGACGACTGCGACTCGCGGTACGGGTTGTGCGGCGGCACGTCGGCCGAGACGAGGGATCCGACCGTGTCGAGCGAGTAGCGCGACTCGCCCGTCGCGGTGAGCTGGAAGTTCTCGGCGCTCAAGATGTCATCGACGCTGAGGCACAGGCTGCGTTCGGCGAGCATGAGAAGGATGCGGAAAATGACACTGTCGCAGCGCGGCCGTCGTGTACACTGTAGGCGCCGCGTGTAACGAGTGGGACGAGAGAGCGAGCGCTTCGTCGGTGCCACCTGCGCGTGAGGTGCAATGTCATTGATGCCAGTGCGGTAGCAGGTGCGGGCCGAGATTGGCGGCGTCTCCGCCGACACCGAGACGCCGACAGCGCCGCTCCGAGGGCTATGAGCTGGCTTCAATACACGATGCATGGAACCGGCGACGGCCGAGGCAATCACATGCTGCCCACATCCGGATGGATCCATCGGTTTGACACGACAGCACATCAAGTGCGACTGCGTCGGCTCGTGGCTCACGATTGCTCTCAGTACCGGGTCCGTAGCAGTACTGGGATCTGTCCGAGCACACGACGAATGAGACCAACCAAGATGGCGCCGTCGATAGCCTAGCCCATTTATAACAACGTCTATCGGACGCTGGCGCAGATTTTTGTCCAAGCACTAGAGGTACAAGTCCACTGAGACTGCATCTCCAATCCGCGCATGGACCATAACCAGGATGTTTATTGTAGTAGAGAGTGCAGATTACGTTTAAAGTTGCTCGTGCAGGACGGGCGGGTCTACGCGAATGCCTCAAATTATGGAGCTTACCCGTCTCCAAGGTCATAGTATCGCTGGCGTGATTGAGCAAGAGGTCGGGAGCATGGGTTGCTCGTCGTTGCAGTACGCATTTGCAATTCAGGTCTTTTTGTGTTAGTTTGTTGTGATTCATTCGAGCCACACCGCTACCCACGACCACTTTGCACTTTGTTCTCTTAGCTCTGCCACCCCGGGTCTGCACACTAGAGGTTCTCGTCATGCGTCCTAGTGGAGGTCCATGGCGGCCGTTGAGACAGATGATTGAAACGTCCTCAACCTCTCGGAAATCTCTGCCAATCTCGTCCTAGCATGGAGTCGCGTCCCGTAATAACACCACGACGTTGAGCGTGTCTCCATTAATCAATTCACCACATCCACCACAGTCACCATGCGCCTCAGCAACAGCAGCTCGAGCAGCTCGAGCAGCTACATCAACAACAACTCGCCCGAAGATTACCTCGCGCTCGGCGCGAGAAGCATCTCGGACATCCTCGCCAAGGACTCGGGCGACGACAAGAGCACGACGTGGAGCCACGTCAAGGACAACGACGGCGTCTCCATCGACCGCGGTATCGTCGACGGCTCGGCGTGGAACGCGATCAAGGCCACGACGACCGTCGACTGCGCCGCCGACGACCTCGCGGCCAAGCTCAGCGACGCCTCGCAGATGCACATCTTTGACGAGATGACCGACAACTGCCGCGTCATCGAGGCGCTTAAAGAATCAACGTCCATCCGGTATGTGCAGGCCAAGCCGGTGTTTCCGACGACGGCGCGCGACTTCCTCGTCGTCACGAGTCAGCAGCATTTGGACGACGGCTCCATCGTCATTGGCACCAAGAGCGTCGAGCATGATAGCGTGCCTGTCGACAAGCACTTCGTGCGCGCGCACACGCACGTGTCGGGGTACATTGTTCGTCCGCTGACGCCGACGTCGTGCTCGGTGACACTGATTGTGCACATGGACCTCGGCGGCTACATGCCGGCGGCCGTCATCAACCTCTTGTCGGTCTCGTCACCGATCAAGCTCATGAAGCGGCTTCGCCAGCTCTACGCCGCCTAGCGCGTCCGAGACCCCTGACTGCCTTTGACTATATCGCTATCAACTAATTTACACGACTTTTGCACATCAATTAGGTCTCTTGCGCTGTGGACCGGAGTCGGGGACCAACGAAAAGACAGGCGGTCGAAGACAAGCAGCGAGTGTGGAAACGATTCTACGACTCTGGCATGTACCTAAAACTCTATCCTACAGTAAATACTACACGTGGGTTTACGACCAGCCGAGCTGCGACCCAAAGTAGCTGTAGATCATAAAGAGCACCCAGAGGTAGCTCAACGGCACGCCCATCATCCAGAGCAGCAAGAAGACGAGGAGGAGGTTCCCGCCGCCCATGCCGGACGCGACGGCTTGCTGTTGTGGCGCCTCGTCGTGCTCGCGGCGCTGGCGGGCGTGGTGCATTGGGTGGCGCCCACGCATGCCGCCGGGACCGCCAAAATGGAACGCAAAGCCCGGGCCGCCAAAGTTGGACACGTGGACGCGCTGGCCGCCCATGCCGCCCATGCCGCCTTGCTGGAAGAACATGTTGAACGGGTCCTGGCCACCAAAGAACGCTTGGAAGATCTCTTCGGCGTTCTGCGCGTTGAAGTTCGGGTGCATGCCACCGCCATTGGACTGGCCGTTGACGCCGGCCTTCCCAAAGCGGTCGTACGTCGTGCGCTTCTCTTCGTCCGAGAGCACCGAGTAGGCCTAGACGCATGCATCAGACGCTGTACATGCAGATATCATTGCTGTTGTCGTCGTCTACCTCGCCAATCTCCTTGAACTTCTTCTCGGCCTCATCTTGGTTGTCCGGGTTCTTGTCTACCAGCATGCATGAGCCTCGTGGCAGCGCGATGCGCGCGGTGTACCTGGGTGGTACTTGATGGCGAGCTTGCGGTAGGCCTTCTTGATCTCGTCCGCGGACGCAGTCTTGGGCACGCCGAGGACGTCGTAGTAGTCGGCCATGCTGCTGCTGCGAATCCGCTTTGTTGCTACTGCCGAGGCAAGAGGCCAGCGGCCGGTTCATTTTATTGATTTCGTGGCTCGTTTTGCCTTTTTATTCTATTGTATACAGTTACCAAGCTATGCATATTATATAACACGGTGCAAATTCGATTGGAATTCTATGACCCACGGCCGCGCCACGTCGCCATTGGTGGGAAATACAGCGTGAAAAAAACGATGTGAAAAACACGTGGTCGACGCGTGGTGTGTGTTTCTTGCACCGTGCAAATCCCACGTGCCAAGGTCGAGACCGACGAGATGGATCGGAGATGGAAGCGCGCTAACAATACCTTCGTTGGACCATGTTCTACCTTTCTGGCCCGTCGTCGTGTGTGACGCGCCAGTCGGCGGCGGCCACACCATCCTCCAACTCCGCCTCTCGCTTGGCTGAACACGCTGGTTCGTTCGCCTACAACAATGCAGTGTAGCCATGTGTGATGACGCTAACCTCGCCTAGTAGTACAGTTTGTGATAGCTAGGACGGGAGGCTCCTGCCGCACCGAGTCGGCCAAACGCTTGAAGCCCGTGGCACGAGCGTCACGAAGCCTGTCCCGCGCGCCACGACTATTTGCCACGTCATGTGGCGCACGTTTTTCACATGTGAAAATAACACGCATACAAAAAGCAAGGTTTTCTCGCGCGGCCCTTCGCAAGGGCGATTCCCGGTTTGCGACGCTTTCCGATTTATAGTGATGGTAACCGATAATCCAAGGGAATGCCTCGTCTCGTATCCGGATGACGCGAGCAGGTGGCATGGTACGTGGTGCGATTTTAGCCAATCGGCGGTCGTTTTTCAAGCGAAAAGACACTTTGGCGCAAGGCCATTGGACAAAACTCGTCGCCAAGTGGTGTAATGCACCGTATCACATCGCGATGGCCGGCGGCCGCCATTTCTTTTCGGCGGCGGTGGCAGGATGAGCCTCCGAACCAAGGTCGTCGCCTTGGACATTGAGGCGCCTTGCAACTCGAGCGTCGCCTTCGAGCCGTCCGACCTCGTCGTCTTCGTCCTCGATACCCATGGCATCAAGCATTCTCGCCACGTCACCATGCGCAACCTCCACACGCGCCGCCCAACGATCTTTAGCGTCAAGACGCTCAACCCGGAGCGGTACTTATCAAGCCCAGCAAAGGCACGCTCGCACCATCCGAGACCATCCAGATCAAGATTGAGCTGCGGCAAGCGCTCTACGACGAGATTGCACTTCGCCAAAATAGCCAAGAGGCGACGGTCGTGACCGATAGGCTCCTCATCCAAAGCGGGACGCCGTCGACCGAGTCGGGCGATGGCGCGTGCCGCGAGTCGCTGGCGTTCCGCGGCAAGGACAAGAGCGCGGCGAAAGACCACGCGTGGGCGACGGCCTGGAAAGCCCTCGGCCCACGCGACGTTGTGTCCAAGAACTTTATCATGCGCTTTGAACCCACAATCGAGTTTACGAGCCATACGCCGCACGTGCTCCTGCAGTCGGGCGCGAGCGTCCTCTCGCAGACGTCAGCCTTCTCCGTGGACCCGCCGCCGTCCGAGACGAATCTGTCCCACGCCCACTTTCTGACCTCGATCGACGACTCGGCGCCGCTGCCGCTACCCGCCTCTGTGGTTGTCCCGAAGAAGGCTTCGTCGCCGACACCAAAGACGCCGAGTGCGCGACCGCTGCCGTCGCAGGTCGTGCCGTCGCGCGTCAAGGCCGACCGGTCCGGCCTCCTCGTGGCCATCACGCCGGCCGCCGACGTCTTGCCTTTCACCGTGCCAGCCCACGACGCCAACGTCGGGTCCTGCGACGTCTCGATCGAGAACCGGTGCTCCAAAGTCGTGGCGTACACCGTGCGGATTGAGAGCAAGTTCAAGTGCAAGGCCGTGCCATTCAAAGTAGGCTGGCTGGACGGACCGGACAAGACCAATGTCCGCCTCGAGCTCGCGCCGTCTCTGCATAAAGAGCTCTTGCAGCGTCTGCGGTCGCACGACGCGTCGCCGCTGCCGCAATACAAGGTGCGCGTCCAGTGCATGGAGCTCGAGCTCAGCGAGATCGCGGCCATGACGGCCTTGCCGTCGTACGACCAGACGATCGAGTACCTCAAGGACCTCTGGCACCACGCGTCGGACGCCAACAAGAAGATTCTTGTCCACAAATACGTCACGTCGTTTGCGCTCGAGGTGACGGCGCCCGTGCCGATTGACCGGTCGTCGGACGCACCGGCCTTGCGCCGCCATGACACGGACGATGACGTCACGACGCCCGACGAAGGCCGCGCGTCCGAAGTGAGCGAGTGCGCGTCGTTCCAGACAGCGTTCACGCGGGCGCCACCGATGCGGCCCATCATGACGCCGCTCGAGCATTTGCAGTACCAGCGGTCGCTCAACCAGCACTTGTTGCCGCGCAACACGATCGACGACTTTCGGGAAACACTGTTTGATGACATGCCGCCGTCGTCCGGGGACGCGCCACCGAGCGAATTGGGGCCGTCGACGGCCGTCTTGGAGGGCGTCAAGGAAGGCGACGACGAAGACGCGACTTCGAGCCACCTCTCGAACGCGCCGCCGCTCGAGCGACCGTTTGCGACAAGTGTCGACACGAGTCGCTTGCGATCCGCGAGTCCGTTGCGCCGGCAGCTGTCGGCCAGCGTCGGCGACAAACCCAAGCCGGCGGCGACGACCAAGATTGACCTCTTGGCACCGATGGACGACGACGCTTTGGAAGAAACGCAGGACGCCTTGGAGCCGCTGCCCGTGCACTTTGAAAAGCCGACCGAGTACGATATGCGCAGTAGCACGGTCGCGAACCGGGATACAGTCGCGCACGCCGAGTACCTCCCGATGCCAGAGACCATCGCCGAGGCGAGCGCGAGCCCGCGCCGGAGCAGCGTCCGCTTTAGCCTCGATGACATGGACATTCTCGCCTCCAAGTACATGCCCGTGGCAGTGACAACGACCGCCAAGCCGAAGCCGTCGTTGTCGCTGGTGCCGCCACCGCCCGTCGTGGCCGCGCCCGTCGTGCACCCGCCGGCACCGGTCATGTGGGCACCGATGCCGACGGCGTCCATGTCACCGCGTCATGACGTCAACATCATGGCATCGCCGGTGGTCGCGGTTGCGATCAACATGAATACGCCGCGGTCGTCACTGCACGTGGCCGATGACATGACGAGCGAGGCGTCGATGACGGTCGACAACGCGTTCGCGTCCTTTATGGGGCCGTTGTCGCCGGCGCCGTCGTCACCACGGGCGTCCGTGTCGCTCTCCGGCGACATTGACACACTTCCCACGCGCCCTGTCGTCGTCGTCCTTCAAGAAACGACCGACGACGACGACAACGACGACAACGACCACGACCATGGCAACGACAAGGACGAGGCACCGGTGCCGACAACGCCGGTCGCCGACCCCGAGGCCATTATTGCTGTCGAAGCGCCTACCGCAGACGAGGATGGTCCGTCGAGCCCGTCGTCCAAGGCCCACACGATCGACGATGCCAATTCTGGCTTTTCGATTCTGACCTTCCCCGAACCCGCTGCCGCCGGCGATGCGACGGCCGACGACGACGCCCACGAGTCGGTGCCCGACTCGTCGACAGGCGAGCTCGAACCCGTGCGCCAAGGCAGCGGGCGCAGCTTCTTTCCGAAAGCGATCCTCAAGACCTTTGCGTTCAAGGAGACACCGGACGACCATACCCCGCTCGAGATGCCGGACGAAGCGTGGATCCGCCAGTCCGAGTACGACGCGCGCCACGTCGAGCAGCCGCCCAAGAAGATGAAGTCGTTCTTGCGGGCGTTTGAAAAGAACTATGCAATGTCGATGCCGACGCCAACCGGTCTCGTGAGCCTCTCGCCGCAAACGCTCTTGTACCACTTGGACGTGGGCAAGAAGCCAACCGGCAAAGTGACGCTCCAGAACACGTCGGCGCACTGCGTCGCCTTCAAGATCAAGACGGCGCAGCCGCAGCGCTACAAGGTCCGGCCCAACCAAGGCTACATGGAGCCGCAGACGAGCTTTGCGATCGACATCAACTTGCACCAAGTCGCGTACGACGAGCTCATGTGCTATAGCAACGTCGAGCTCAGCGACGTGCGCGACTGCCTCCTCGTCGAGACGATTGCGATGCCCAACAAGAAGAACGTGCTGTCGCTCAAAGCGTCCACGGACCCCAACAGCCTCCTCAAAGTGCTCTGGGCCAACACGGACAAGAAGTCGATCCACGCCTCCCGCCTCTTTTGCGAGTATGCGTTCGATGACAGCCAGTACCATAGCTTCTCGAGCTCCAACACCGGGTCTTCGTCCTTCATGGCCAAGGACGCGGTCGGGCCGCGCCTCGATCGGATCGAGAGCCTTCCGTCCATGGACGAAGGCCATACGCCGCCGCCGTCGCCGCGCCGCCATATCAAGAAACCCGTGCTCCGCGACGCCTTTTAGAGTCGAACTGAATAGAGTGTTGTTGTTATTGTTGTCGCCGTCATTGTGGACAACTTGCCTTGTCGGAAATGTCCTTTTCCGCCAATGGGTGAGTTCTAGACGACAGGGGCCCAATCCGGCAACGCCACGCGCACATCGAACGTGTCGCCCTGACTTGATAGTTTGATACTTTGTGGCGATCGACGCGGTGGGAGTATTCTTACCTTGTAGCGGTACGCGTGAAGCCACAAGCCTTGGCATTCGAGCTGCTCCCAGTTGAACGAGGCGGCCTCGCCGTCGCGGCATGTCGGGCACAGCTCGTCGTGGAGCACCGGCGCCGTCGGCAGTGGCCGCTTGACGGGAATGGACGCCAGAAACGACGACGGGCCGTACGTCGGGTCGTTGGCGATGGGGAACCCGAGCAACTGCAGATGCACGCGGATCTGGTGCTGGCGACCCGTGAGCGGGAGACACTCGATGACGCTGAACTCGTCGGAGGCTTGCAGGACGCGGATGAGGGTTTGGCTCGCCTACATAGTATATCGTTGCGTCGACGCGGTCTGGAACGATCAAAAACCTTGCCGTCCAGCGCGCACCCATGCCGGTTCTCACTCTCCGAGATGCGCTTGAGCGGCGCATCCACCTTCCAGTACGGCGTCAATCGGTCGTCAGCGATCGTGACAACGCCAGAATCTACGCGAGAGGCTCCCACACTGCATGATGATGCCCCGGTGCACGGTACCAAACGACGGAAACACGGACGACGCTGCGTCACGTTCGGGCGTCGGGAAGCGACCGGCGACTTTGGCCACGTAGAACTTTTGCATGCTTCGGTCCACGAGCTGCTCCGACATGGTCTGTGCTTTCTCGGGCGACTTGGCGAGGACGAGCAAGCCTATGTGGTCGGCGTCGACATGCATCCACAAGCAAGTATGTTGCACCGGACGTGAGGCGGTCGAGGCGATGCACGGGATACAGCGGGTGGCGCTGATGGTCGATCGCCAAAATAAACGTCTAGCGATATCCTGTCGTCAGAGAAGCTAAGCGAGGCAATAGGCCTACCATCGAGTTGTGGCGGTACGCACCGCACGGGTGCACGGGAATCGTGCTTGGCTTGTTGACGACAACCTATATATGTCGATGCTATACCGCCCATCGACCTCGCTTGGCGGGTGTACCATGTCGTTGTCTTCGTACTCGATCATGCTGGCGCGAAAGGAACGGACACGCGGCTCGTGGCGGTGCATCTACGCGGGATTTATGTGCGCTGTAGGCAATCGTGATGCGTCTACGCTGTGCTCGAGGTAGTCGCCGTCCCGGACCAACGTTGTCGTCGTTGCGATGGCGCCGTTGACGGTGATCTTGCCTGTCTCGATGGCCTGCGTGTAGTACGACACGTCAAAGCCGCCAAACTCGGAGAGGAAGAGGTCTAAAAGCGTCTTGCCGAACCAGCGCGCCTTGACGTGCACCTGGAACGTGTGCATATATGGCGCGACGTGGCGGTAGCCGTCGGTCGTCGTCGTCGTGCTCGTCTCGGCCGCCATGGCCTCGATGTCGTCCCGCATCTCGCAGTGGAACTCGCGCTGACCTCGCCGCTTCCGAGGGTTCGTCCAGCTTCCGTCGGCGACGAGCGCAGCCTTCTTCTCGGAGCGCTGCCGCTTCTTCTCGAGCCGCTTCGCTTCCTTCTTGCTCATGCGGAAATCCTTTGCATTTTGACCAATCCCATCGCGCTCAATGGTGATTGGTCAAAAGCATCCCAAATTTTCTCGTCGGGTAGACTGCGACCCCAGTCGATAGGTTGTCCTTGAATCGTAGCAACAGGCAATCGCGACCTGCGGAGATGGCCTCGACTAGGATGGTGCGCGCATGCCTTGCTGCCGCTGTCATCGTGCATGGCACGACGGCGGTGCAAAGTGGCAGCGCCATCCGATTGGTCGTTGGACATTGCATTTCAATGTATCTCCACCAATCCAGAGCCTTTATGAAATGGATTGGCTAAAAATGATACCATGAATAAAGATCGTCAGGACGTGGCAGCTCCGACGGCTCTGAATGGCCTGAGCCCGTCGAAGCTCTGATACAACCCCGTCGAAGCTTATAGGTACTGGCCAATACGCTCTTGCGTACAACCTTACGTTGAAGCGCTCGAAAAACGAACATATCGAGCGACGGGACAATGTAAAACATCGAAGATCAACGGTGGCCGCCGTTGAGAGCATGCCACAATCCATTTGACGTTGCGCCAAGCTCATCCTTCCTTACGGACCATGGAACCGGTAGGCGCGTTGTCGTCATGACCAATAAGTTGATGCCATTGATATAGCTCTTGCACTTGTTTGACAACGAAGCCGACGACGTCAACCTGTCGCCTGACCAAGCGCGCGACGTTTTCAAGCTCGTACCATACCGTAGCCATTGAAGAGACTCTGATAACTGCCATAGCTCGGCCTCGACCTCACGGAAGCGCAGATCAAGCAGCTCGACGACGTCCCTCTAGATGGTACAACGAGCTGGATTCATTCTAGTTGTTGAGAGTAGTGTCTAGAGTTTATGCGCACCCTCGAAGCGCAGACGGCGACGACCACGATCGAGGTCTCGGAAGTCGAGCCCAAGGAAGAAGCAACGATCTCGTACAACCAGCTGCACGAGTTTCTCCGCTCGTGCAATCTGGACGTGCCGCAAGAGTCGATCCTCGAGTTCCTCGCGCAGCAGTCCAACTCGACCATGTACAACTTGTCACCATTTTCCTTTTACATGGCGAACCAATATGGATGTAGCACCGAGGCGGATCCGCTGGTCTTCGACAAGGAAGGGTTTGCGCGCTTCCTTGAGCAGCTGACGCCGTCTCCGTCGGCGTCGCCGGCGCCGAGCCCGGCCAAGCCAATCAACCCGCGCGCCACCCAGAAGAAATCCAAGTCCAAGGCGCGCCGCCGCCACCGTGCGCCGTAGACAATTATGTTCAATAGTATGTAGACTGACTACAAACTTTTTACGTTGCACGCTCATGCAAGAACGCGTCATGGTCCGTCTCGAGCGCGTGGAAATCCCTGAGGAGTTTGAGACACCCGTCCTTCTCCAAGCAGCGGTAGGCCGCGCTGGCTTCGTCCGCACTAATCACGACGTCGCGCAAGCGATCTTGCCAGTAGGTAGGAAGCATACTTGGCGTAAAGGTCCTGGAAGCGCTCGAGGTGGGGGTCCGAGATGGTCATGTCGCAGCTTTTTAAAAAGTAAGCGAGCTGGTGCGGCGTGACGTGATCGCGCCGGAAGTGGTCCAAGAGGTGCCACTCGTGGCTGCCCTCGTCGAGGCTGCGCGCGGCCTTGTACTGGCAGTCAACGATCGCGAGGAACTCTACCGCGCGCACGGTCGCATGAGCTATCGCGTTCAAGCTTTACCCGCGAACGAAAGCAACTCGAGCTCGTTCACGTGGTCTTCGTTGACCGTGAGCCCGAGCTACGGCAATGAATACACCAGCGAATCGAAAGCGACGTACGAGCTGGAACATGCGCAGGGCTTGCACGGACGAGACGTTGCCGTCCATGTTGGTGTCATAGTAGGTAAACAGCTAGCAGGTTCGCATTCCTAGTACAAGCTAGTATCGAAAGCAACGTACCGAGCGAATACCAGCGACGTCGTCCGAGTCCAAGTGCGCGGCCCGCGCTTCGTACGCCGAGTGGAGCGCCGCCGCAAACGCCATGTCTCTTTTTAGCGTGTTGGGTTGCAGTCGTTTCAGCGTCCTTTTGTCCTGGGGTTTGACTGTATCGACATGATACCCTGGGCCATGGGAGCAACCATTTCCAACCGCCCCCCGTCATGCCGCCGACTTCTGACTTGTTCAATAGGTGCACCCCGGAGCCTTCTTGCACATATACCCCCGTCGTGTCCACTCTACGGTGCGATGTGTGTGGTAGCGTGCATGCACATCAAGTATTTATCGAGTCACATGGAGAACAAAGGCTAGCAGGATCTGCACGGCGATCCTCACGACGCGAGGTTGGCTTGGCCATAGTCGTACACGGGCGCTTTGTTGTGCATCCGGTCCAGGAAGGGCTTGGCGTTGATCCAGATACCGGCTGTCACGTCCGGGCTGTCGTTCCAGAGCAAGTCGAATAGGATCCGATTCTCGTACCCATTTCTGGGCACGCCGTACGCGTACCCACTCGGGCACGTGACCCGGTGTCCGTCCGAGACGTCGCCGAGCGTCCAGTGCGCAAACGAGCTCTCGGTCGTCGCATTCGTAAAGCACGCGGCACGAAAACCTTTAGTCGATGTGCAGTCGTGCGAGGCCCAGCGCGCGGTCGTGCCCCGGGGCATGGCCACGCACGCCGAGAGGTCCGAGGGTTCGTTCTCGGCAAACGACCAGATCATGGCCGCCATGCGGTTGGGCGTCAAGTTGTCGGGCGACGGGATCTTGACGTTGCACTCCATGAGGCGCGGCAGCTGAGCATTGTCGATGAGAAACTCGTTCGGACCCACGTGGCCGTCGGCGTTGATGAACCCATATTGGATCTCGCTCGTCTCGGGGCGGAATAGAATGTGGTCGTTCTCAATCGTGCTTGTCTTCCAGTTCTTGAAGCTGCACGCAGGGTACGGCTGGAACGGCAAGTCGGGTTCTTGCCACCCGCAGAGGGTGTACTTGTGGAAGAGGAGTTCGTCGCCAATCGGCGAGTAGTCCGAGACAGAGAGAAAGGCCACGCGCTTCCCGGATGCGAGAAGCGCTTCGTACGTCGGCCAGCTCGCGCCGTCCTATATGGAATGATTGTATGTGGTTCGAGATGCAGAGGAAGCGTCGTGTACCTGGACGTCGGACGGCTTGAAGATTTCGCTAACGTCGAACGCTTGCTTGATGTAGTCGAGGAGCAGCTCGACCTTGTGCCACTTGACGAGATTGATTTGGTCGTCGAAGTAAATGAGGACAAATTCGCCCGCGTTTTCTACATGCCATGGTTCGACATGTCCTATGGTGCATTTCTGTCTACCTGGCGCATGGACCCAGGTCGCGATTTCCTGAAGCGCGTGCAGGGCCGGGCGCTGCTGGTGCGCGGGGATGCTGCTCAGCGACGGCTTGCACCCGACGGTCTCCGAGTCCCACTGGATCTCCATGCCAAGGAGCTTGGCGATCGCGTTGATACCCGCGACAAAGTCGTCGAGCACGGGCAAGTCAAAGCCGCCGCAGTGCGCGATGCGCAGGTCGTCGTCGACCCAGTGCACGTCGAGCTCCATGAAGCGCGCACCCATGCGCAGCTGGTCCGTCATGCTAAAGAGCTATGTCGTCGCGCATGAGCCACCCGAGAGAGAGCGCAACGACAGGTACCTGGTCGTTGGTGTGGACGACGAGGTTGCTCGTGAACCACGGAAAATACTTGAGGATGCTTTCAAAAACGTGGTCTTCGACGCCGTAGCCCTACAGGACGACGTGCATGAGGACGACACGACGAGCGGCGAGGGCATACGTCGACCAAGTTGATGGCCGAGTTGTGCGAGCCTGGGAGCTGCGCGTGGCAGAGCGAGTGCGTGTAGGCGAGCTGGCGCTGCAGCTTGAGCGCGTGCGCGGCCCACGGATCGATCTCGACCGACCCGCGGTCGCAGACGAGCACGCATTCGTTGTTGTCGGTGCACTTTTTGACCTTTGTACACGAGACGTCCTTCGGCACCGTGTCGACGATGTCATCCGTGTCACTGAGCACGCGGCTGGTCGAGGCGCCGACGGCGAGGGCCAGCGCGACCGCTGTCCAGAGGCGTCGCATCATCGGGGCAAAGATATTTTGATGCGACGCTCAAAGAACGACGCCCTCCACCGGGTCGCAATCATAAAATACAGTCGTGCCTTTTCATGTTAAACCCAAGTATACATTGAATGTGTGATATATAAATAGTAGGACCCCGCCTAGATTCGTAACTGACTGCACCTTCTCTTGATAGTTGGACGGCTGCCGAAGTCGGCATCAATGATGCTAGGTGCAGCCGGGAGATCAATGATTGTGCAGCCGGGAGCTACTTGGTATCGCGCACTACACAATTGTACGACTTGGAGCACTTGAAGTAAATGCATCGAGTGCAGGAGTCTGGCAGAAGGAAAGACTGTGTATTACCCAGAGACGACAACCCATGCAACAACGGCAAGCTACTCTTTGCCCAGCTGTTGCACTTTGAGCATGAGCTCACAGAGCATTTGACTGTGTCCAAGTCTTGACGGGACTTTGGCTTCTTGTCCAGGGTAGGAGGCGAGGAGTACCCTGGCACGTTTGCACTACCTAGGGTGCACAAACTGTCTATGGACCCTTGGTACACTTGGTGGTAAAATGGAATCTCGGCACCGCGCATTGCACTTGGCTATGTATGTACAGTGTACTACAAGCGAAGAGGACGCAGGCCGATCGAATGGGTAGGGCTCTTTTCGGGACGAGACGTCCGATCCAGCGTTTGCTTAAGGAAGTATTTTCCTCGCGGCGAAAAAGCGGGTAGTCGTTCAGCTCGACAACAAATTCGCAAGTCATTATCATTGTACCGTAGAAAAAGTGGATGAATTACATCTAGTGAGAGAAACAGAAAGAGCACTATGGATCTGCCGACCGACGACTAGTTCTGGCGAAGGTTGCGCTGCCACGATGCACCCTGCGTCGCACCGGGAGTGTAGGGCTGAGGACCTGGGCCGGGCTGAGGGCAAGGCTGCGGGCCTGGCTGTGGGCCGGGCTGAGGACCAGGCTGAGGACCAGGTTGCGGGCCTGGCTGAGGACCTGGCTGAGGACCAGGCTGAGGACCAGGCTGAGGACCAGGCTGAGGACCAGGCTGCGGGCCAGGGGCAGGCGGGTTGTAAGGGCCAGGTCCTGGTTGCGGACCTGGGTTCGGGCCAGGCTGAGGA